GCTCACGCGTTTATCATCAGAGTTTGCAGGAGCATAGACTACCTCGCTCACGCGTTTATCATCAGAGTTTGCAGGAGCATAGACTACCTCGCTCGCGCGTTTATAGCGTGGAATATTTACCGCGATAGACAAGGACAAACTGGGCGCGACGTTCTCGCCTTGTTTTTCGTCGTTTGGCTTCTCTACTCCTGTTATCGGTATGAAACGCAGGGGTGCACTGTTGGTAAACCAATTCACGCAGTCATGTCGGTGTGTTTAGTAGTATCGACTCGACACATACCTAACGGACTGATTTGGCCTCAAGTCCCTGCCGTAACGTCCTAATATGGCTGCCGACATCTGATCTGTACCATGAGGCTGCCATTTAAGAAGGATGCCGCTTCTGTCCGTATTCAAGCAGACTATCGGATATTCCCATCATTATGTAATACGGTGTGGTAATACGGTGTGATTTGACGGCCTTAGAACACTTAATCTGGTCTGATGTGTGATTCGTAGTGCGGTACAGGCCGTTTATTACCAAATGGCATGGTGTCTCAGTGCGAGTCGCTAATGTGCCTCAAAGCCAAGTTCTGATCCGTAGCTGGGGTAGGTCGTTTCAGGCGCCGGACATAGTTGTTTTGATTGTTATGTCAGCTTTCGTTCGTCCAATCTAACAGCACAGTAAGTTGCGGATTAGTGTCAGGTGTTGATGATTAAACCCTTCTCAAAAAGTACCCTGAAATGCAATAAAAACACGACTATGCACAAAATGGACCAAATCGATCTCAGCCCTATCCGTCTAGGAGTATCAATACCATGGTAGGAACCCCGGCGCTCAAGCATTGGAAACTTGCCTTGCGAGGAACAAGCAGTTGATGTTCTTTTATAAGAACTTAATACAATTTCTCTGTTATATGATGCAGGCTAGACTCTCAGGCAGCTTGTGGTTATCTGAATTCGTGGATAGAGGACCTGCGTGATGCGGAAGCAATTTCCTTGAAGATGTATTAGCGGATCTAGGTATGTCATACCTGTAGATGCAGGTTGGGATCATCGTGCAGGAACCTAAGGTTACATAAGGACACTTCAGGAAGGTAGAACTCATCATCGAGTAGACAGCAGCTAAGCAGACCGATTTGCGGTTGTAGACTGTTCTAACAGAGCGTGATGGTTTTCCTATTCATGACTTTCCGTGTATGATGGAATATCACAGACATACCGCTGCGCCACATGATTTGAGTCGGGATGACGTATAAACTTGAGCACATCGATCCATTGAACGTCTCGCGCCATCGACTTTGGTCCACTATTTCCGAATTCACATGCTGGGCTCTTAGGTACCTGCGGTTTTTATCGGTACTTCTAAATGTCAGCGAGACGCTGCTTACAGCTAACTCAAAGCCAGGAACGGGTTGCTTGCGCGTTAGTGTTGACTATTTTAAATTGCCACTACTGGACGTTTATGTGTGTGTGTGAGAGAGAGAGAAGGAGAGAGCGGGGAGAAAGAACAGGCATGGTTGAGAGAAAATTCCAGGTGCCTAATACTGTGATCACGGAGAGCTATGAAACAACTTTAGAGCGACTTGCCAAGGTCGATACCAGCTTTCAAAGGCAAAATACGACTTGGCCCAGCTTAGTGTATGTGGGGATTATCATATTGTAGACAAATCTCTTTAGACGACGGGAGGTCGAATTTAGACACAACCAAATATGGCCGTCTGACGTCGAATTTACCCCGGCTGCGAAAATGTGAAGGGGCAAGATACCGCCATGTCTTGTCCTGTCACAAACTCCTCTGACCAGACCGCGGGGTGAGGAGTACGGTGTACTGTAACCACGGTTGCCCGAAAGAGGCCCATGGGCATTACGCAGATGATGTGTATGTGTGTCAATGCACCATCCGCTTACTCAGGTATATTGTGGCGATGACTGGAGAGGGTTTGTATCGTACGTACCGTGCTCGCGTACGACAAAGAAGATAAGGAAGCGCGTTCAGAGTGCCTTCAATTTCGCGTCAAGACCATCCAACACAGGATACAGCACACATTCCATCTATATACCAACAAAACAAGACAAAAAAAAAAGGAAAAAGAGACCCTGTTTTCAAGACTTCAATGATGATCTCCAACGATGAAAAAGCCGCGCAGCAGGAAGCTGGCCTTCGCCATCAGCTGCTGTCCGTCGACAAAGCTACAAAGGTTGTTGACTGCGATGTTCTCATCATCGGCGCCGGGGCTGCGGGTCTAGCAGCGGCAGCGGCTGTGCAGAACAAGGAGCTCAGAGTCATCCTTGTCGAGAAAGAGGATCATGTCGGAGGCACCACTTTCAAGTCCGGTGGCTGCATGTGGATGCCGAATAACTTCCTGATGCGGGAGCAGGGCATTGAGGATAGCAAAGGGCGGGGCAAGCAATACGTCAACGCTGCGGAGGACGACAACATCAAAACTCATAGCAGAGATGCCGCCACCGACAGCTGTGGCTTGCGGGAAAGGCGTCTCGATGCATTTTTGACCAGGGGAGATGAGATGATTGACTACTTTCGCGATCAAGGATTCCGCTGGATGGCCACACCTTCCCGGTTCCCTGATTACCGGTCCGACCTCAAGGGTGCGGTTGAGTATGGCCGCACCATCGATCCCGACGTATTCGATGCCACTAGTCTAGGTAGTTGGCAGAAGTATCTTCCAGCACCGGACGGTGCGCCTCTGATTCCTAGATTCGAGGATTTCCGGGCCCTGACGAGGCCACCACTGTCGAAATCTCGTTACGGGAGGCTTTCGACCTTCCCTAGAGGAATCCCGAGGCCAGTATCCATGGGTCGATCACTCGTCGCTCAACTCCTCAAGATCTGCCAAACTCACGGTAATGTGGAAATCTGGACGTCTCATGAGCTGCATTCCCTTTTGCCATTAGAAGATGGGGAAGTGGTAACTGGCGCACGGGTTTCCTACCGCCGTGGAAAGGATAGAGACGTGGGGGACGAAAGCGCCACTAACTGTTTTGTCGACATCCGAGCATCGCACGGGGTTGTTCTGGCCACAGGAGGCTTTTCCAAGAACCAAGCGTTGAGGGATGAGCATATCGGGACGAGCACCTTACGTTCCGAGGCAGCATGGAGTCTCGCCGCCAACGGCGACAGCGGTATCGCGCTGCGCGCTGGGCAAAGCATCGGCGCCAGCACAGCACAGCTCGACCAGGTCTGGGGTATCCCGACAATGATTGATCCCAAGACAGGAAATATGACTGAAGCCATGTTCGCCATGGTGAAACCTTTCTCCATCGTCGTCGATGGCACCGGCGATCGTTTCTTGTCCGAGTCCCAGCCGTACGGCGACACGGTCACGGCCATGTACGACAGGGCACGACGAAGCGCCGAGACGGCCGTCTTCTGGCTCGTCTTCGACCAGGTGTACATCCAGAGGTATCCGATCGGCAGCCTCCGGCCCATCCACGCGGGCACAGCGGTCCTCGAAGGCGCCATCAATCGCGGCCATATACTGCGCTCAGGCGATCTTGCTGGGCTGGCAGAGCAGATGAAGGTACCCAGCGGCGCTCTTCGAGCAACAATCGACAGGTGGAACGAGATGTGCGCGTGTGGCACGGACGAGCTATTTTGCAGAGGTGATGACTTGTACCAGAAGTTTATGGGTGATCCGAACGTGGAGCCGAACCCTTGTATGGGAGCCATCAGAAGAAGCCCCTTCTATGCCATCCAAGTCTTCCCAGGCGACGCCGGTACAAAAGGAGGACTCCGGACTGACGAGCATGCTAGAGTACTCAGAAGCGACGATAGAGTCATCCGCAACTTGTTTGCCGCTGGGAACACCACTGCTGTACTTCTCCGTTCCTTCGCTGCGGGGCCAACGATCACACCTGCGATGACGGACGGCTTTATCGCCGTACGGTGTATGGAATCGATGGTGAGTGAACGAAAAGATGCAGTGCGCGAAGCTACGCAAGTGGAATGTGCCGGGTCTGGTTAGGTTTCTGAGGAGCGAAGGATTGTGGGCTCGAACCGGAGACTGCCTAGGCCCAGGACCAACAGACAACCTGACGTTCCACCACCGCGACTTTGAGATGGCGCGGCGGGGTTAAGGAGAAAGAGAGAGGGAGGGAACGAAGACAAGACTAGAAGAAAGCGGTAAAAAGAGGAGAGCGAAAGGAGAAAAGGAACAATAGGATCCGGGTTCAATTACAATGTTGAAGCTAGTTAGTGTAATGGTCAGGAACTTTTCTTAACAATGTGTCTCATTCGTGAATAAAAGGGTTGAATTTCACGGTTGAATTCCGCTATTCAATTCCAATATTCAATTGCAATCTTCCATTCCACTTGTGAGTAAAACTATTCAATTCCAATATTCAATTGCAATCTTCCATTCCACTTGTGAGTAAAACTATTCAATTCCACTCGTCAATTCCA